AGACTCCCAGAGAATAAAAAACTGGACGTTAACAAAACTTTCAAAAGTCAGCGAGAGTCTGTTAATAATCATATAATCCCAGTTATACAAAAGGCAATTGATAGGAAGGTATTCCCAGTAGTTGATGGTATAATCAGGTACATAATTCATGAACGATATCGCTACCAAAGAGAAAACTTTTTAAATAATAAGAGAGGTACACATTGGAATGATATCGAGAAAAGAAGAAACACGCTAATTTACGACGTACTGAAGTGAGTAAAAAAAAAAGGTTTTGTTTTATGCTTTATTAATAAAAAATTCCTGATATATTTAGAAATGGGAGCACCAGATGAAAACAATCAACAAATTCATAAAATTGAAAAATCCTTTGATAGAAAAACTTTATAACGATGAACTTCGACTGATCTAAACTGACAATAAATATCATAGTCTGGAAATATCGGAAACAGATGATGAAAATCCTAATAAGCGAAAGATCATTATCCAAGATCTTAAATGGAGATCTTCAACAGTAAGTTTATACAGTTAATTTTTAAAATTGGAATATACTAATTTGGGTTTTTTTTAGTTACGCATCTTTTTGTGAGAATTTATAGATAACGACTTTAACCCGACACGTAGAACAAGAAAACGGGTGTATAGTAATGACAAATTCATACCTGATGAAAAAGAAGCACCCGTTAATACTTCTAGTTAGACAAGAAACGGATATAATGGATCTCTGAAATCATTTGCAGAGAAATATATTAGTATTCACTACTCTTCGTCTCCTTTTAGAAATAATAATATCAGAGAAAAAGATGTTGATGATAACATTTATATTAATAAAGCAGAAGATGAGGAGGAAGATAAAGAGGATGAGAAGAGAAATGAGGAGGAAGACAAGGAGGAGGATGATAATGTTGACGACGAAGAAAAAATATTTCAAAGATCTAGGAATCTGGTATCAGGAGTGTATAATAGTTATGAGGACTATTAGCATAGTTTAGTAATATATAAATTTTCTTTATGTTGTAATTTTATTAGCTATATTGCGTAATACAAATAAATATCAATATTTAATGATGCGAAAAAACAATTTTATATAAATCGGGAATATATATTAAATTAAAAGTTATAAATCGGTAAATTACAATTAGATAAATGTTAATATATTAGGCATAAAATAGACATTCCTATTGATATTTGATATATTACTGATAGGTATCCTATTTGATTTTAAATTTTATACCTGATTGAAATCTTAGTGTACACTTCTTACGCCATTTTATGACACTAATTGGGTTTCTCTATTGAATACCAATAATAAAAATAGGGACCAATCAGAAGAAATTCAGAGACCCAGATTTCTTCTGATTGGTCTCCTATTTGGCATCATTCAACCTGTGCAATATGGACAGACCAAAGAAAGAGAACAATAAAAATTCACCAAAACAACAACCTCACTCTCGCCTTGATACTCCAGAGCAACAACCAAACAAAAGACAAAATACTCTACAAACTACTGAACCTAAAAGTAGTGTCTCCACCAGCAAAAACAACAATGAAACTCCAGTCATTATGAACGTTGACCCCCTTCCGCTTGATAAAGGAAAAGGCAAAGAAACCTCAACAAGTGAAACTACTGTAGTTATCACCCCCAACCAAACTCCAATAAACGTCAATGATGCTAATGACGCTTCAGAAAATTTTTTGACAAAAAAGTGTCCTCAAGAAATTTCCACCAAAAAACAAATTATTTTGCATTTTTTCCAGCGGATGACTACCCTGGAAAATCTCCTCAAACCAAAATATCTGACGTCATGGACCTTATTTTTGATCAATTTGACTCTTTTTCAGGTGTAGTGTTTGCTAAACATCCAGAGGACCAATCCAAGAAAATCTTGAAAGCGACTTTTTCTGACAGAAATGAAAGGGACGCATTTTGCAGAGTTAACTTACCTAATATAGAAAAACGCATATTTTTACCCCTCGAGTTTGTATCAAAACACCCCTTTGTCTCACAACAATTGATTAAAGTCACAGAAATTCCATTGGATGCCACAAAACTACGCATAAAAAGGTTTTTTCCCGATTTGGCAAGATAGTCAGATTCAATATGGAAACAAAAAATCTTTGGCAACAAGCCACGATCACTTACAATGCTGAAGCAAACTTTATTGAACTTAAAAAAGGCTATGGTGTTTTCCTACTTAACGACATGGTTCGTTTTCACATGTGTGATTTGCCATGTGATAAAATTCTGAAACAATCCAAATTTTCAGCTAAATTCACCTGCCTTCCTCGATATACTATGGGTAAAGAATTATCTGATTTGGATCTTATGGTCAATGCAACAGTCTGAATCATTCCCAAAGCCAGATCTAATTATCACAACTTACAACACGCGTTCTTTTATTTCTCCTCAGTTGAGGATTATGAAGCAGCTATCAGCAATGACAGTTTCACCATCAACGATAAACATTTTGAATGAACTGAGACCCAAGTTAAACTATGTGCTATCTGTTCTTCATCACATCACAAGATCAAAGACTGTCTAAAAAAACGTCGTACCCCATGACAAAAGCACTCAAATATTATACCAGAGGTTTCAGCCAGCATAATACACTAATTACAAAGCTCCAGTTCATCCCCGTAAAAGAGCAATTAGTCTAAACATCACATTTGCTAACGTCGTAAAAGATAACTCACCTAAACAATCCACAAGGAATATCAAACCTCCTTCCTTACGTTCAAGACCTACAGACTCCCACGACGATCAACCAAAATAACCGGTCCACCCAGTTTTTACATGGAACGATGATATCCCTCTGAATATGGATCAACATATCAGACAACCTCATCAACCCAAATCACGTGATATCTCTGCAGAAACAAAAGCAGGAAGCTCAATGCACGAGAACGACACTGATGCTGATTTTAAAACTTTCATCAGATCTAGCTTTCTACAACTCTCACAGAAACTGAACGATCTTACAGTTACTCTCAGTATTACTATAAAAAGAATGGAGACGATCGAACAAACACTTGGTATCAAAGTTAGTTTTCCTGATGAAGAAACAATGGAGGACTATGACATTGAAGAATATGGAGCTGGCCTATTGATTGATACCTTCACCTCTATTATTAATAAACAAAGAAATACCATCGCCGCCCTTAAAGAAATTACGAATACCCAGAATTTGCGCCTTAAGAATTTTACAGAAACTGTCAATACCTTAGTCAGCACTTGTAACACCTTCCATGCTGTACTAATTCACAATGATCTTCTCCAAATTGACAAAACACCAACTTCATATTTACTCAATACCGCTTATGATATGGAAGCAGCAAAGGCTCTTGAGAGTCTCTCTCACTTCTAATATACTTAATTATGATTACTGTCTTTACAGATATTACCCTGGACAAAACCCATCACTTAATTCTTCTAATACGACCTCCATCAATCTTCCAAAACTTTTCCTTGCAACCCATAACGTTAGATCCTTTACTAACATAGCTAAACAATATTATCTTCTTTCACTTTATTCTTCGTACAATTTAGATGTCATTGGACTCCAAGAAACTAATTTCAAACTACAACACGAAAAAATTTTCAATTTATCACATTCACCATTTATATTATTTTTTAGTTCAACTCCAAAAAAACAAACAGCATTTGGAGTAAGCATAGTACTCAGTAAACCATTTGCTTCGCATGTTTTCAAACATGATACTAAACTTGACCAAGTCATTTATGTGAATTTACAATTCGCAAATAAGCAAAAACTTTGCATAATAAACTGTTACCTACCACCTGCCGACCTTTATATGTGGACAGAAATCCAAGTCATTTTAACCAAATAGATCAAAGAAGCCACCATCAATGACTTTCATATAATAGTCTTAGGGATTTTAATGCTGACATGAACCAAACGCATAATCCTACAAACGCTCTTAAACCTTTTGATGAATTTGGTAGATTGTCGCTATTTGATACCTTTACGATTAAATATGACTAAAACAGGACACAATTTCCTACTTACCATTCAAGCTAAATCTCTTCTAGGATTGACTATATATGGTCTTCAATGGATATTTTCCTTAACATAATAGACTGTCATACGATTACACCTGGGAAAGATATTTCAGACCATCATGTCATAGTAACTACTATTACAAATTTTCTAGACATCAAGTTCAACAAACAGAAAAACCTGTCAAAATCAGTTTCGACTTTGAATAAAATGAATAAGGACCTATGGAATAAATTTACAACCAAATTCGATGCACTATTAAATGGGAATACTATTAAAATAATTAACCAAGATACATACTGGACACAGCACCTCCTCAATAAGTACTAGGATCTCTTTCAAGACCTTTTGATTAAAGCGGCCGATAAGTGTATACCAATTAGAAAATTATCAGGGCTGTTTAAGTATCCTAGACCGCCAGGCCTCAACAAACTTTATTCACAACAAAAAACCTTGCACAAATTCAAAAACTACTCTTCAAAGTAAAACGAGGCGGGTCCTTTTCAGTAAATTAGACACAGATGTACGACAAATACCGCAATATCGCCAATTCACTTGATTTTGTTACAGCACATTCACACCCAAACTACCCCTTTGATTTTGTTAACCTTTTCCTTTCAGATATGATGCTTTTAATCAACATCATATTTTGCAAAACTAAACTTCATGAGAAAGACCACAAACTTGCTTCTATCCAAAAATACTTAGAATAATGTCTAGATGCTTATGCTAGTAACCCTGCTAAAATGCTTGATTCAGCCTTAAATCGATCAAGAAAGACAATCGTACTAAATCGATGTTTGCATCAATACACTAGTAAACTTCTCACTGATGAAACATTAGTAAAACAAACAGTTAACGAACATTTTCAAAGAGCGGCAGGCACCACTCATGAACTAAAAGAAATCCCTGAAGATTGGATATCGTCTTATAGTCTGATCAATACTATTAATGCAGATATATATAACAATTTGATGTCACTCTCACAGCTGAAGAATAGTACTCTATCATCAATTCTTTTGCTAATGGTAAAGCATTTGGTCCGTCTAAGATCTCAAATGAATTGCTTAAACATTTAGGCCCTCTTGCCAAGAAGATATTTTGGCTCATCATATGAGGTTGTATGTCGATTTCATCACTTCCACATAGATGGAATTTAGCATATATATACCCTATTCCAAAACCAAAACCTTGGAAATTTGACCTCAATAATACGAAACCAATTACCCTTTTGGAATGTCTAAGAAAAGCCCTAATCAAACTTCTTAATATACGCCTTTCAACGATCTTTGTAAAATATAATATCCTTAAAGAATATAATTTCGCAGGTCTTCCTTTCCGTTCTATTTTCGAACCCTACACACCCTTGATAACATAAAAAATGACGCCCTTAACAACAATAAAGAATTATGGATCCTCTTGCAAGATATGTCAAAAGCCTATGATCGCATTAACATTTTTATACTAGTCAAAGCATTGGAAAGGTTAAAGCTTCCCAAGGGTTTTATTTACTTCATATTCAATATGTTTATACAAAGAAAAAACCAAGTCCTCACAGCTCATAGGCTTACGGATACATATGAAGTATTCTCAGGGATTGATCAAGGAGAAATTATTTCTCTATTACTCTGGTGTATATATTATGATCCCCTCCTATGTAGAATGCAGAGTTCAGACCTTGGTTACAATATGATGATAAAATGGAAAGCCAACGTTCGACTAAGCACCTTCAACGAAATCTCCTGCAGAACCTCAGTACTGGCATATATGGATGACATACTGTAGATCGCTAATTCTAAACAAAACCTCTCACAGATCATTGGGATAGCTAATAGTTTTTACGATCTCAACAGCATTAAAGTAACTGGTCTAAGTCTGATCTGTTAACAAACACTAAGGAAATTCACGTCCTACAAATATACAGAAATGGTCAAACACATACAATAACCGCTATCAACCCTAAATCCTCTGTCAGATATTTGAGGTCTGGATCTCGTTAAAATGCAATAAGACATTCATTACCAAATAAGCTATCTAAGATGTCAAGTTTACGATTACTGCTTTGTCCACAAAGAGACTGACTGACAAACAACTTATATATACCTTTAACGTTGTCATCATACCCCGTATAGAGTACCGTACCTAACTAACTCATTTATCAGAAATAACTGCAGATCGTATAATACGCCCATTTAGAGCTATGTTGAAGAAAAAGCTTAGGCTATCAAGAGACACGCCCTTTAGTGTTCTCCACTCAAATCTCTTTTATGGAGTTACTCACCTGTACTACAGATATCTGCAAGCCCTTAGTGATGCTTTGTTGACTTCTTTTAATGATACTAGTATATTAGGTTTGTCTACGCGTATCTGACTGCTTCACCTACAAATTAAAGAATGGTTAGCTGTTTCCTCACTAGTTGAATGGCCATATAGACTCTCCAAATATTTCAATAATTGGATCCTAGCACTCTTATGTGATTTAAAACCTTACAATATTAGTTTATCACCCTCAGAACAATACACTTACTGTATACAAGGTGGAGTTACCACTATACAATCAGTCATCCCACAAGAATACAGAAGAGCCATCTCCTCCCTTTGCAAATACTCCTTAATGTTCATGGAACAACTAGTTAGTAAAGATGGTAAATCACTGTATTTAGCTCTAGACTTAAAGTAACTCGTATCGATCTCTAGAAAAGGACCCTCCAAAATGGTACCAGATAATTAAAAACGCGCTTAATGTTAATGATCTAAACTCCTTACCTAAATCCGTCAGATATAAAGATAACGTCGCTAATAGAATTCCATCATTACTCCTATAACAAGAGATTGTAGCTTGCTCTTTTGTCATATATTGGGAACCCCATAGTCATAGTTTAATAATAGGCAGAGTGTTAAAAATAGTCGGCAGCTTTATTGGAGTTGTGCATCATACTTACATTCCTTTCAGAGAAATTTCTTTTCAACAATGTAATGGATGCTCATGTAACAGGCTTACACTTCTGAAAAGCAACTTCCCTGATCTCAAAAAATTCAAATGTTTAATGACCTTACCTCTCGACCTATGTGCAAAACTTATGATAAAGGACACCTGGAAACCACATGTCAGCGCATAGTCATTACCACTCATGAAAAACATTGCTATACACACGTTTAACCGTTCGTATCATAGTGTTTCATGATTACAATTACCTATCATTGAGTATCGCCGCCCTGCACCTTCTACTTTAATATCAAAGTTCATTATGTCACCACACAGACAGGATCTAATAACTCTTTCACAACAGTTTTCTACTGCCTCACATTTAAAATTTTATACAGACGGTTCTCTCTCTGATTTAGGCTTACCTTCTATGAGAATGGGAATGGCTTGGCTCCAAACACATTCAGGTTTTTCTATGACCTCGTTTTCAACAGCACTAGTTGCTACATTTTCTTCCTCTTCATTCGCAGAGCTAGTAGCAATTTTCACTGCCATCATTGTTGTCCTGCTGAACTGTCACATCACTGTTCTGACTCACTCACAAGTTGTAATTAATTAATTCAACAAATTTAAAAGAATTTCAAGTCTCTCCACGTCCACAAGACCTCTCTTCAAGATCAATAATTTCTCAACTTGGCTGAACTTATTTGAGATTATAAACAAACACCACCTTAACATACGATTCCGCAAAATCAAAGCGCACTCAGGAGACACATTTAATGATAAAGTTGACAAACTCGCAAAAGCCTCCCTCAGTTCTACTGCGCTCACGTTTGACTTCTCGAATATTGACCACTACTATTATAAATATGAGAGCCTTGCTATCTCGACCTCCATACAGTTCTTTATGAAACATGTCACACAATCTGCAATATACAGTAGATTCCAACATTTTCAAGTAATAGGATCCTATCAACATTTGAATATTAACTGGTACGCAACCAGTTTTTATATTAATGACAACGTTGCATCAGCATATACATCTTACGAGGCTTCTGCAATCTGAAAGAAAAAAATACAAAGACTCCTAAAAATGCTTTCTATTATGGAGATCTTAAAAATTAGACACCTTAATATCTATAATCCAACTTGGTTTTGCGTCAGATGTGATTGCGTTGATAAAACCTTCTCTCACCTCTGGGAATGCCCAACTACTTGGACTCGTATGAAGAACATTATCTGTGACTCCCAATAATTTCTGCTAGATCTTATACAGAATAGTGGTATGGCTAGAGACTTATCCAGTTTAACGATATGGCATTTGTCCACAGAAAGCTCCCATACTTACCCGCTCTCATTAAAGAAATGATTTCTCAAGCATTATACAAATTCGTTCATGACATTATGAATTCAAAAGATCTCACCCTTGCAACACTATCCGCCTTTATGTATCACCTCTTTAAACAAACACAAGCTATATGGATTGATAGATGTTCACAACAAATTGCATTTGAGAATTCTCACAATATCAACTTAAAAAGCAAAAAGAATAATACCGCTGCTACTGGTTACAGTATCAAGAGCTTCACGTCCCTTTCATCTTCTGATAATTTAATTAATAAGATGGTCTATTACGGATCCCACTGGATGAATTTTTAGTGCCGTAGTGGCTGAGCCCTTTCTCATTAGGTTTGTTACTGGAAAATGATATTTTTAGCTTAGGTTAGGAATAGATTCTGGGAAAGTGCAGGGTCGGTCTTGATTTGATTTTAATTATATAGAGATTTTTGTGTTTTCTTAAATTTGTATATTTTACTTTTACTTTTGTTACATATACCTTAAATTTAATAAAGATTATGCAAAACTACCGCACTTAAAAAAAAAAAAAAAAAAATTTTTTAAACGATAAATTTTAATATATCGTCTATATATAATTTGATTGGTTGACCTGTCAGGTCAGGTTTATCTGACCTGACCCGACCTGATTCAAAAAAGGAAATTTTTCTTATTTATTCGTTAAATAATATCAAAAAATATTTAATATAAAAAACTCTTTTTGCTTTTTCACTATGCCAAAAAATAGCAGAAAACAAAATAACAACAGCGGTCGCTCTGCGTCGCCCAAAAATGTCCAACAACCTAGCAAAAGACAAAATACTACGCAGACAGTTGAACCAACAGCTTCTTTATCTGTCCCAACGAACAACTCTATTCCTGAAAACGACATGGAAGTCGACAACACTCATGTCAAAACTCTTGCAGTAAACAGCAAAGGCAAACAAAAGGAAGTTCCTTCTACTGATAACGTTGCTTCCTCCAGTATTATGAACATTGACGACAGCTCCGACCCTACTGAAAATACTGTCTCCACTGAGAAAGATATTCTCGCTTTCACCAGTAGTCGACCTCTCGAAAAATTTTTGCGTATTATTTACTCGAAAAATACAAAGGTGGAACCCCCAACAAAAAATTGCTGACATCATCGATCAGCACTGCATGAAGTTACTTTCCTTTTCGGGTATCACACGTGGCAAATCTCTAGCAGATCACAAACAAACCATCCTCAAACTTGCCTTTTTTGATAAAATCGAACGAGATAATTTCTGCAAGGTGCAGATTCCTCAAATAGACAACGACACTTTCTTACCACTTGTTCTACAAAAACAAGCCCCCTTTACTTCAGAACTTTCCATCACTGTGACCGAAATTCACTCGACGCCACTGAATTGCGTCTAAAAAAATTATTTTCCAAATATGGTAATATCACCAGAATTACGATGTAAACCCGTAATCTATGGTAACGAGCTAATATCACCTTTGATAAGGACGCTAACTTCACCGAACTTGACAAAGAAGATGGAATATTTCTCCTCAATAACATGATCAGATTCCACAGAAGCAACCTTTCTCGTACAGACATCCAAAACAAATCTAAGTATTCAATTAAGCTAACTAATCTTCCAAGGAATACCACGTCACGTGACCTCTTGGATATCGGTCGAATGACAGAAGCAACTGCCTGGATCGTCCCTAGGGCCAGGTCAAATTATAACTATCTCCAACACGCCTACTTTTACTTTGCTTCTGTAAAACTCTATGAAGAGGCTAGTAAACTCACAGATCTAACACTAAATGGAAAAAAAGTTGAATGGACAGACTCTAAGAAGAAATTTTGTGCCATTTGCTCGTTTGCTTATCATAATACAACAAACTGTCCAAAATGTAGATATAATCCTAAAGACCGTAATATGCAACAACTTTACCAAAAGCTCTAACCAGCCCAATTCAATAACTACGTCGCCCCAAAAAAACAGCAACAAAGAGACGCAGTAAGAGATAATGTTACCTTCGTAGATGTTTTGAAGAACAAGAAGAAGAAAGACCAGCCTAAAGGCTCTACATCTAACCCTCCACAGCAAACTTATCTCGGCAATAAACATAATCCAAAACCTAAACCCTTATCCTGGGCTGATGATATTCCTGATGATATGGATATTGAAATAGACAATCTAACTCAGGTGTCCAAACCGTCTAAGAATATTTCTAATGGTACCGTTAAAGAAGGTTCCATGCATAATCAGGACTTCCAAAAATTCATCACCACGCAACTCGAGACCATTACCAAACAACTTACAATTTTAACTTCCAGCTTAGCCTTCTCACAAGATAGACTTAGTATCATTGAAAAAGCACTTGATATCACAGTCGTTACCCCTCAAGATGCAGCCGAACACAATAATCAGCTTTCCCTAGAATCGTCACCAGCTGATGAGAAATATCCTCATATTGATGCTTCGAAATGCTCAACGTCCTTGCAGAAAAAGACGAACAAACAGCTTATCACGATCTGTCACCGCCAACAAAGACGTATATCATCATTCACTACAGCTATCAATAGTCTCTCCTCCACATGTGCGGACTTCCAACAAATACTCTTAAACAAAGGTCTAATGAGTGAGCATGATGCTAAATCCTTCACTCCTATTACTGATACTCTAGATAGAAACATTGAAAGCTACCTCAATAGCTTCCCGCAATAACTCTATCTCAAATTATGAACACTGTCTCTACCAGTACAAACTGTGATACAGATGTTATCACCAACTAAAATAATTATCTACCAACTATGAACATTGCATCACATAACATTAGATCCTTCAACAACTCCGCCAAACAGAATTTTTTAATATCTCTATATGAGTCACATGACTTAAATATCATAGATCTTCAAGAAATAAATTTCAAATCCACCAGTTCTTCTATTCTTAATCAATCTTTTCCGAATTTCAGTTCTTTCACTAGCATGTATCAGGAGAGCCAAACTAGCGGGTTTGGTGTCAGCCTCTCCTTCAGTAAAAAACTTGCCAAACACGTCTTTAAGCACGAGTCAAAATACGATTGTATTATCTATACTAAATTATAATTCGCTGACAAACGGAAGTTAATGGTTATCAATGTATACTTCCCACCACTCAACCCTGGTTCAAAAAAATTATGTAAATCAATGCAAATGTATATAAGCTCTCTCCTTGCTGAAGCTACCTGAGACAATTACCAAATCATCCTACTTGGAGACTTCAATGCTGACCTTGACTGTTCACAGAACCCTCAACACACAATCCGTTTTATGAACACATTATTGAGACATAATTTGTTTGATGTGTTCAGCATTGCCCACAATATTAACTGTTCATCCTTTCCGTCTTTTTTTCAGCATAATTCATCATCACGTATTGATTACATTTGGATGTCTCCTGAATTAACTTTAAACATCCTCACGTGTCAAACAGTGCCTATAATACCCTCTGTTTCTGACCATTCAGTCTTAATGACTTCAATATCTGACTTTTTGACCACTCCTTCAAATGACAGATGATGCCTTAGAAAAAGTTTCTTCATCTACTCTCATATGGACGACCAAAAATGGGCCAAATTTGCTGCCAAAACTGACAATATTACCAAGCACAGCTCTCTAAAAGACCTTTCCATCACAAAATGCTGGACACAGTCATCCCTTAACAACTCATGGAATATTTTTCAGGAATCGGTCATTGCAGCAGCCAAATCCTGCATACCTGTCAGCAAAGTCAGAACAACCCGTTATAAAAAACGGCCAATAGGTCTGGCAACCATGTACAAAATCATTAAAACCCTACATAGATTCAACAAACTAACTAAAGTGTTTCTCTATGACATGACCAAGTGTCCAGAATGGTCATTCAAATATAAAGAATTTGTTGCTATTGCCCAATCCAAAAATCTACATGTGACAGCCGTTGATATTAACCATTCCTTAGCCCATATTAACTCTGTCTTTCCTGATATAAAATTACTATTAGCAGGTCTTTATGTTGAAGCTAAACTCAAAGAACAGGAGTTCAAAACCAAAAGTATCCAAGA